GGCAGTGAAACCCTGGATGGATGAGGGAGGCTGAGGCCCTGAGCCCATCAACTCAGCGGATGCCCTGAATCATGTGGGAGCTGTAAGCTTGTCCCAGATCCTACAGCTGTCATAGATTTTTGACCCAGCAGAACCTTAATTCAGTTTGAAACAAATAAGAAAATTTTTTTTAAAGTCATTGAAAATGATGTTGATGTTCTTAGTAAAAGAAACATATACTTATGTGTTTTATAAGTGAATACTTGCTATTAGGTGTAATTAGTGCCTAAAAATGAATTTGCAACATATTTATGATGATTCCAGCATTCTAAGAGCTGTGGGATCAGATTTCTGTTGAGGAGCATGGTGGTGTGTCTTTAGAATACAGTGGGAATACCTGTAATGTCCTCTACAGCTTGGTAAAGGGTGGAGCAGACACAACAATATGAGCTTTGATTCAATCAACAGAACTTGTACTCTTTTTATTTAGCCAAAATTGTCATCTCCCCTTAGTCTCCATAAAAAAACAAAGAAAACAGTGAGTTTGAGCTAGTAGTCAAGAGACAAGCCCATCTTTTTTGTGGTTCTTTAGAAAAATATTACCTAAGTATGCTAGGCCGTCCTCCCAGAGCTTCCCGTGCAAGCCCTTTGGTTTTTACTTAGGCATTGTTCTCCCAAGCGACAGAGAACAGCTGCACATATTCTGGTAATGGTTGATATTTTGAATATTAACTATTTAATTCACATTATAATCAATCCCCCCCCAAAGTCAAGCAGCCTGAGGTTCTTGTACATTTTTGTGTCCTGTTTGTCAATGACGTAATCATTTCAGATGTTTCACCTGAGTTTCTTTACAAGTATTCAAAATCACATTTTAATCTTATTCACTCCTTTAAAAATTCTAAAGACAAAAAGTCACAGGATTAAAAAAAATACAAAATTGATGATGTCATAAAGTCGACGTCATGCCAAGCGCTCACGAAGAGGTGAAACAGGCGACAGGAAACTAGGCCGGAACTTCCAAGGCAGGGCTTACCTTAGAGTGGTTTTGTATCAACATTCTGAGTTTCTTCACAGCAGAATTGTGAGAACCTGCAAAAATAAACACAAGAAGAGAAAGTGAAGGGAAGGAAAGAAGGTAAAGTAAGGGATGCTCAGAGCCACACTGTAGCAAAGCCCTCCCCTCAAGGTACCGAAGTGCCACTACCTGCAGTGTGCACACCCTGCTTGCTAAGGGTCGGCCGTCTGCTTGGGCTCAAAGGTCTTGGCAAATAAAGCAGAAAGAAGAGGGCGTTTGCAGGAGTCAGTGTTCTTATGACTCAAAAAAGAAAACCAAAACAGAAAACTACAATTCAGGGGAAAAATACCCGAGACCTAACTGAGAAACTTCTCTCGTGGCTTCTCATACAGAGGTATTGGGAGATATAAGAGGAATCCCTGGAGTAGGCTAAAAGCTGCATTTTCGTAGCCTGTTCTGTTCCTTGTGGTGCTCCTCACTGCAGTCAACTGGCATGACATTCTTGTGTGATTTAGCACAAGCTGATCAAAATAGTGCTAAAATTGTGGTTGGGTGCCCAGTCTTCTTATGCTTTGGTTAGATCCAAAGATGTAGTAAAAATATACTTAAAAGTGAAATTTTAGCATGCCTGCAAAGCCTATATCAGCAGACAATTCCCCACAGCCCTCTCTCTGATAAAGATTAAATAGCAGAAACTGGAAACATTTTGTCTGCTTAAAAGAACCTGATGTACAACTACTTGGCACTATTGGTGAAGAGCTGAATCACATCCTTCAACACTCAAAAAAAAAACCTAGGTTCTTCACCTCCCTTTCTTATCTGTGACATGGTGGGACCTAATCTTAAGAAGCAGTATTAAGAAATATTATGTTGGTCCAGAACTGAAATCAGCCTGGGAACCTGTAGTCTTCATGTACTTGTGTGGAAATAAATGGTAGCTACAGACTTTGAGAGACATAAATCAGTGGAATATTTGCTGCTGATATTATGCAAAGTGGACATGGACATAGATGTTCATGACAAGATGTATGTTTCAAAAGAAAGCTTTGTTTGGGTATGTTGGAAGTCAGAACACCAGTCACAGTAACTATAGAAATGATTTGAAATGAACATGAGCATTGTGACCGCAGTTTGATTTTTTGGCTCTCCACATATTAAAAACGAAATGCAAGGCCTGGGGTTGTAGCCCAGTGGCCAAGCACTTGACGAGAATGCAGGAGACCTGGGTTCCATCCTCAGCACTGAAGGAAAAAAGAGGCGAGGGAGAAATGGCTACTTGTTTGCTAAACACATCAACTGTTTGGTCAAACTTATCTTGGGGGAATCTGGAGAATGTTCCACTGGATTAAAAGTTGCATTTTTAGAAGAAAATGGAGGCTTGCTCCCCAGCCCCTTCACCCAAGAGAGAAATACTCGGGAGAAGTCACCTGAAAAGAAGTCCAGGGTCGCACCCTCAAGGAAAAGGCGCTTCTCCTTTGCATCTGAGCTTCTTCCCAGGACCTCATGGGAGTTTCCTTCCAACGTTAGTTTTTTTTTTTTTCCTTTCCTCCTATAACTTCTCATCCTCCCAGTACTGAAGGAGTTTAAACAAACATGATTTTGTTTGGTTCTGCAGAATTAACACAACACTCAAGCTTATTTCTAATTGAATGCAGATGTTTTCTAAGCAGAGAAAAGCCTCAGACTTGTGTGCATAATTCTTACCCTGCCCTAATGGAGAGAACTAAGTCCAAAATTAGCAACTTTTTAAAGCCAAATCTGGCCATGTGCCACATAGACTGATTTGAGTTTTCTTTTCTTTTCCTTCTCTTTCCAAGGGAGTATAGACAGAAGGTCTTACAAAAAATCTATACTGGGAAGGCTACTGTTTTTCTAAGAAAATTTTAAAAGGCTAAAAAATTCCAACATGCTAAACTAATCAATGTGGCATGGCATCTCTGTCTCCCCTCTGCCTCGGTCTTTAGCAGTTACACTCAAAACATGTCACAAACATGTTGTCCTCCTGTGGCTCAGCAGCCAGCCTTGGAGGAATGAGGTCAACTCCAGGGCTCTGTTTTGACTGTCCGTAGTTGCTGAGAAGGACAGACTTGTGGACACCAGATGAAGGGGTTGCTCTGTGTTCTTTTGACTCCTGGCTTCAACAATTTGCCATGAAAGATTTAATGACCTCATTGTCCCCACAGTGCCAAGTCTGTGTGTTTACATGTCTACAACAGCAGGTTTGGGGCTGATTATGCTGCCTCTTTTAAAAACTCACTTTGATTACTGAGAATCTCCTAATTAGGCCGTTTCTGTACATTATCTGTGCTGCAGAGGCCTGATCCCAGCCTTGAAGTGTGCACCACCATGAAACTCATTATTTAGACATAGGGTATATCTTGTGTATATCTTGATGTGCCTTTCCCATTGGTGAAAGCGTTCAAACTTTTCAAAAGAAAACTTTAAAAATGTGTGATTGTATCTCGTGTGGAAATAAGTGATTCCTTGGTATTACACATTCCTTGATTGATAGCGAATTGTTTGTGTGTTACAAGGGTGGCCTAATAGTTCTAATGAACTTGAAAGGTCAGGCCTTGAGTTATATTTAGGGTTAGGTTCAGACAGGTATTTAAGCAAAGAGAATTCCTGATTTGCGCTGGCATAGCCAGTCCCTCAACCAGTCTATCCATGTCAGCATAACTCTACTCTAGAGCCCTTTCGTTGCCGTATTAGCCATTGGATTTTTACTGGTTTTCATGAGTTTGTAACACTTCACCTGCAGCCATGGTATTGCTCTAGGTTTTACTGATCTAGAAAACATTGGGGGCTCTGGGTCTTAGGTTCTTGTAATTATTTTCAAGGCTTTGATTGCCCAATTGTGAGGATCCTATTTTATGTAGGTGAAGCATCATTGGGCACGTTGGTGAAAGTCCGTTTTTTGAGCAAAGTTTAACATTTTCAGGAAAGAAGAAAGAAGGAATACTAACCTCCATTTATTTTTGAAATTTATAATAAATCTTCCAACAAAAGCTGTATATTACACAACCAAAGTAGATGACAACCCTGAGAAGCTGAAAGTGGAAGTTTCTAGAGAGTTATTTCTTCCCTTGTCAAAAGAACAACGCAGGAGCAAGGGAATTGGTTTTGAACCATGCTCACACACAAATAGTGGTAGAAAAGACTTGAATTTTCATCAGTAATCAGGGAAGATGTTTAAGTCAATTTCAACCAAAAATACCAACTCAGAATCTTGGATCCAGGCAATAGTTTTGCTTTCCTTCCATGCCGTTCCAAAGACCTGATCGGGAGGCAAGTTGGGACATCCTGGGACTTCATCCTGCACGTTCAGTATTAAGGAGTTCTGAAAGCACTTATTATTCTGTTTCTTTTCCTTTGAATTTCAGTTTCCGTTTGTAACTTGCTTTAGTGGGTGACCTCTTGAGCCCACAGCTAATAGCTTCTAGCTGAGTAACTTCGGCTCCTGAAGGGAATTCATAGTATGATATTCTCAGGTTAACTCGTAATTGATCGTTTTTAATGGATGAGTCTTTTTGTTTAGCTAAGGATTTCTGACCTTTAAGACTGTTAGTATTTCTAGGTGATATTTACTCTGTTGATCTCTTGCTTTCATTGTTTCTTTGCACTCTTTGTGTGTGGTTTCTCTGTTTGAGCTGGTGATTTCAAACATTTTCAAACTAAACACTTAATCTCTGTGGTGTGTGCACTTGGTAGCCTGTGTCTGTGGAAGCGCTCCTCTAAGGCAGTCAAGAGGTGTCGAAATCTTTGTCCAGAGAAACTTCAGTGCTTCTCGCTGTGCGGGGGAAGGGAGCCTGAATGAGGCCTAACCACTTTGGTTTATTTTCTATCTGGTTTTTGGCTTATTGGATCCAGTTGTATCAGGTCTTTGTATTTTAGACACTTACTGGGAAAAGATTAATGAAAAAAAAATTCCTACAACATCTTTATACTATGGATTAATGTGGGCAAAATGTATACTTAAACAAATGCTCTTTGTTCCCCATAGATAATTTCAAGTTTTGAAAAAACTGCCGGGTGGCTGGAGGCCAAGTTGCCTGGGTTGAGGTAAGATGAAGGATAACCTCACATTTTACCAGTGAATAGAGAAAAGACACTCAATGATGTCCTCTAGGAGAGAATTCAAGGGGTGTGTGGAAGTGGAAAGGGTCTGAAGAATTTGTTCTGTATTTGAGCTCCAAAGCCACCATTCTAGGCTGCATGGCTGAATTCCATTACCTGGGGTCACTTGGGTTCCCTGCCCCTGGCCAGTGGCATGGCCTGGAACGAGAAGGCTGGAATGGGAGTTTAGGAGGCTCTGATGTGCCTCATGGCTGCATCCTAAAGAGCATGCACTCACTCCTCTGCCAGCCAAGCAACCCCAGGTGCAGAGACAGGGAAACCTCTCTAGACTAACCTAAGAATCAAACATTAACCCAAAGTGAGGTACTTAAACAGCTCCAGCAAGCAAGAAAATACAATAAATACCATTCCATTTACCAGCTTTCCAAGATTGAAAAGAGAGAGTTAGCATTAAAATGCATTTAAAAAAGAAAAATCAAGTCAGTCTACAGAAGCTGGGGGAAGGAGGGAACACATGGAGTCACAATTCCTTCCAAGCCCACAGAAAGCAATAAGAGTTCTCATTTAACCCGGGGAAATGACTGGCGAATCACTTGTACTTTGAAACGATTCTAAATTGCAAACTAATTCCCCAGTGGGATATGTTGATGGCCTACTGTACCCAGCATAAATAATGAGTTTGCAACCAGGATCCCAAATAAAGTGGTGCACGTTTGTGGAATTCATGAACAAGTTTCCCCCTCCGTCATGTGACATTGCAATGTTAATGCTTCCAGTTAGGAGTTCCACTGTGTCAGCAGGTGAATTCCCTGGCAGTAAGTCAAACTTTAATGGGACATGCTGGGGGAGCCATTATGCTGCTGCAGTGTAAACTCTGGAGTCAGTGTTAGGCTTCGAGAGGTGTGGACATGGCCTGGTACCTATTCTGCTTGCAGGTGTTCTTTTCTGTTTGACTTTTAATGCTATATTTTAAATTGACCGTGACAAAGTTAAGTTTCTGTCTAATAAAGGATTTAGATACAATGGATCTACTCAAACCTTTCTCTCTCTCTCTCTCTCTCTCTCTCTCTCTCTCTCTCTCTCTCTCAAAAACCGTTTTTATACAAGGAAGAAATCTGAGGGTGGAGAGGGTTAAGTAGCTGGTTAGATCAGACACACTAATACAGAGCAGAATTGGGACGTATTAGTGGGAGTTCCAACTGGGAGAACTGGAACAAGGCGTTCCCACCTAGGACTCACCCACTCCTTTGTTCTCTCTTAAGGATGCTGTCTTTCACTGGGAAAAACAAAAACAAAAATAAAGCAGGAAAGTGCAATAACTTTTACAAATATATTTAAGAATGTTTGACGAAAAGAGGAATCTGAGTTATAATTTAAATAATAGGAAGCAAAACATGTAACCTAGTGTAGCTAAACATCCAGATTGCAATGAGAAATAGATACATAATAAGATAAGTCTACAAGATATTTTTAAAAATACATATAGGGCTTCATTCCTTAAACTTAAAACTAGGTTGTCACTGAAGAGCAAAGATCATGCCTGTGAACACCACACTGAGCTGGGGATGAGACCTGGGGTACTTACGTATTAGAGCAAGGCTTGTCTCCTTAGCCCCTTCTCCTGGGCTCGCTCAGTGACATGGGGAGGCTCTTGCCCTCAGAGCAGTTCTAGCCACACAGCTCCCTTGGCATCCCAGCGCTCTGTCGCCTGTGGATAGTCTTCCTTTACCACACTGTCTTTGGTAAAGCCCTGCAAATACAGCAAGATCTGAGTTCTGTGCCAGCTTGAGAATTGGTGCCACCGTTGCAAAGCCATGCCATCTGGGTTTGGAATACCAACCAATGATCAGCCTACACCTAAGGACCAAAGCAGATACAGCCGCAGTGAGCCTCAGGAGGCTGCACCTCTCCGCCAGGTGGTTCTCTGGCCGACCTCTGGAGAGCCACCTGCTCTCCACCCCGGTCCTCTGTGGCCACACCCACACTTCTGCACCTTCTCCACAATATTCAATCCTCTTCCCTAACACTTCTTTACCAAGATTGACCAAGACTTTCCAGATGCTGGCATCAAAGGATGCGCAGGTGAAGCTGTGGTCCTACGCCTGCAAGTATCCTTTTCACAACTTCCAAATTCACATCTCTAATCTGCATCTTTCTTCTGTGTATTAAACATATCGGGTTTTTGTTGTCAACTAAATTATTGCAGGAATTTACACATGAATCTGTCTAAATGAATGGAAATCTGAGGAGAGTAACTTCTTCCCCAAATCTACATAATCTTTCTGTGCATTTAATGATGAATGTAATGCCCACCCACAAGTTGACTACACAGGTGACCCCAGGATAGATCCTTTACTTCTCCGTCACTCTTCAACTTTCAGTCCAAGTGCTGACACGATTTCTCTTTTTTTCATCTTCATGCCTTTCCAGCCTTCTGCCTTTTTCATCCCTACTCCACTGTGGAGGGCCTCAGTGGCTCCCTGACCATGGGTGACTGACAGTCCATCAAGCCCCCTCCCTGTCTGCGGCCAAGCTGCCTCCATGTCTGAAGCCCTCACACTCCCAGCGCTCAGCTCTAGCTCAGCACTTAGGGGTGGCATTGTTCAGTGTGTTGACTCAGCCTTCTCCATAAGCCACCTGGTGGGAGCTAGAAGCTATGTCTTTTAATATTTCAAGATGCCTGGCCCAGAATAAGTATTCAATATATAATTTCTAGGTGAGTAATTGGCCAAGTATCTAAAGCAAATTATCATAATTGCACTCATACATTCCCACGTATATGTTTTTATGTGATTTTAGTTTTGTTGTTCAATTTTGTACACTTAGAAAATACCAGCCCAAGCACTTTTTTACTTCCCACCTTGCTTTTTATGCTAACAATAAACATATTAATTGAAGAAGGGTTGTTTTTCTCAGGCACATTTTATGACTTTGTATTTATTAGCTTATTTTATTTCTCCAACAGCTACATAGGTAGTTCTTATTATTATTCCCCCCATTTTTACACATGAAGAAACTGATGCACAAACAGAAGCAGAATAGGACCAGAAGCCAGATGCCAGCGCCAGGGACCCTGCCCTGGCTGCTGCCGTGATCTTGCCCAAGCCACTGTTGCGCTGCTTCTTGCCTCCCTTCCATTCGTGAGGAGTGGGCAGAGGGGAGCCTCACTCCAGAATCAATTGCAATGAGCCTCCCAGCTGGAAGCCATGGGCCTCGTCAAGCGACTAGCCTGTTCTTGTCACCAGTGGTCTGTACCATGTGCATGGGATGCAGATGGTTTCAGCATGAAGTAAAGAAAATTGGCCACGAGGGCTGAGTGGTGGCTCAGTGGTAGAGCACTTACCTAGCCTGTGTGAGGCACTGGGTTCGGTTCTCAGCACCACATATAAATAAATAAAAAGAAAAGTCTACTGAAAACTAAAAAATATTTTTAAAAAAAGAAAGAAAGGAAGGAAAGAAAGAAAAGTGACCATGAATGAGTTCAGAAGTGGCCAAAATCATTAAGATCTAGAAATGCTTGAGCATTCCTTTCAGAATCCAGATGTGATAAAAAATTATTCAAAATACATGTAGAACACTTATCCTGAGTTCCATAAAGAGATCCAAAAGTGATGGAGAGTCCCTTTACGATTCTTTGTTAATCTTCTGACAATCCCATGAGGAAAGATTCATTTCAATCAGTGCAGATGACCTGAGGAGCTCTCAGTCGCTCCTGGCCCTCCAGAGTCATGGCATCCCTAGACCTCCGATTTTTATAAAATATTTGAAAGTAAGGTTGAACGTTCCTGTTCTAAAATACACGGCTGCATGTGCTAAGTGCTTTCTAGAGTATTGTGACTTGTGTCAGGGTGGTGGTGACAGAAGGAATGAATCTGTTCATTTGTTTATGCCCGCTGGTGGAAAACAAACTGAATATCAGCCAACATAATTCAGTTGACACTGTTCTGAAATATCCTCCTCCCACACAAAGCAGGATTTCACATTTGCAGAAAATATTTATCTCAACAGCAAGCAAGCCCATACTGGCTCATTTCATAGCTTTAAATCACCACATGAAGGAACGTGACCAGGCCAAGTCTGGAGTGCTCCGGCTCAGGTAGGGATGAAGCGTGTCACCAGTTCCCAGGGGCTATCAGGGAGATGGCAGCAGGCTCCACATGAAACAACCTTCGGTCAGTTGTTTTGCCCCACTGGCCAACATGGACAGGTCACTGTGGCTTGACATCTGCTTGAATGCCAAGCGGAAAGTTTGAAGAAGGCATTTCATTATCTCAATCAGGATTACGTCCTGTGCTCTTGAATGATATTCCAAGTCAGGTTACGACTTTTCTCTTATGTCTCATAATTGTTTCAGTAAGAATAAATGTTGAAAGGGAAATGTATCCCATTTGTAAAAACCTTGAAACAGTTAAGCAATGAACCCAATTAAGTAGCCTTTTTTTCCCAGAAGAAAGTAATGTTTTAAATCAATTAATTAATTCTTTTTATAAGCGTGTATTGCCGTCACCTACAACATAGCTGTCACTGAGCTAGGCAAGGGAAGGGCAAACAAAACACATTTCCTCTGCCTCCTCGTGGGTTACAGTGTCTTGAGGGGACATTCAGAAATAAGTGACTGTGGGATATGTTAAGTACTTTGGCAGCACTGTGAATAAACACTGTGGATAACAAGGCAGAAACACAGATACTTCTTGGAGTTTGGGCAACAGCCTAGGACAGAAGACACCTTTGCTTTGTGAGTGAGTGGAAGCTCACCTGTACACCAGTATGAGAGCAGGGAAGGCAAGAAGTTGGGATCCACCTTTCAACTCCTGGTGCCACAGAGACAATGAGCCTGGTTATGGGAAGGCCGAAGAGCTGGGTCCAGGAAAAACATAGGGGAATTGGCCTTGAGCTTTCCTCTAAAGAGTTCTTTTTAGATATTTTAACTTGAGCAGGTTTGTAAATCTCTACCCATCACAGTCTGGAAGCTGGGGTATATATAA